TTTCAGATTTTTGTCTCTAAAGTTAAGTACATTTATCATGGATAAACTGGTTAATTCAAAACTGTTTATAGCTATTTAAGTTCAGTGTTATTTCCTGTTTAATCTCTTTCGAATAAATGTATCCTGTTTACTGAAGAAAACACAATTTCTGAAACTGTGTTAAAATTACTAATAATAGCTTTGTATAATAAACACTAAGTTCTTTTTCAAAGTCTAACGTAATTGCTTTAAATGTCAGAAGATTTAACATAGACACTTCCCAGAGATTTTGTAAACATTCACTACGTCTTGCTTTAAAAAAAAACCTAATTTGGAACATTTGTTTCTAGGGGACAATAATTTTATAAACCAGTTTAGATAAAATACAATAAAATAATAAATAATTATGTTCCATGGAAGACTAAAAGATCGAACTTTATAAGACAGTCAATATTTATAATTAACTTATATTCGATACATTGTGCTTGGTATCGAAAAATGCTAAAACTTTTACAATAAAGATGTCAACTAAAACGCCCTAAAAACGACAAAAAGAAAACTTAACTCTGTAAATTCCAAGTATGTTTGTTATTCAACTAACAAGACTAAACTTCTAAAAACATGAAAATAACTGTTATTTATTATCTCTCTGTTTCCTTTTTTCTATTTCTTTAACAGCAAAGCAAAAAAAAGTACTCAGTGAGTTGAACAAAAAAAGTGAATAGAATTAAACTTCGAAACATATTGTTTGCAAAGATCTGTGTGAGTTTTCTTAAGCTTTTGGCTAGAATTTTGATCGTTAAATTTTTGTGTGTGACAAAATATCAAATTGTGTCCACTGTGTATTACATTCCTTAAAAATACTGGAATGTTGCAGCCAGTTAACAATCTCCCTGAAATGTATTGTTACGTGCAAACCTAAAACGTATTGCAGTGAAGTATGATTTCTAAACTTATTTGATATTTATCTGAATATATCTTTTCCTATCTCTTGACTGATAATTTGTTTCTAGCTTTGAAGAAATGAATGTTAAAGCACATTGATTTGCTTTTTCGTTTTCTCTAAATGGTTCGTTTTCACTCCATGCTACCTGTACTTAGAAAAACAACGTGTCAACGACCTTATGTAAAAATAGATCACATCTTTGTAACAATAATATATCCTGTTTTGTTTAGTTGTCCGAACCTTAGCAAAAATTCCGAATGTTTTAGCCTAAAAACCTCATAGAACAATAAAAAACTTCACGTATAGAACATAGAACAATAAAAAAAAGTTCATATATTTCATTTTTAATGTTTAGTATAATAGACACAATTGAACGAATAATGGAATTAATTCTTTCTTAAGACTTTTTTTCATGGAAATATGTTGCTTTCTTTATCGTACACATTTTATTGAAAATTCACCATATGAATACGGTCGATAAGGGCTTACATATACGTTAGAAGCAAATCATCGCGGCTCACAAAAATAAACGTACTAGCTGTACTGCAAGAGAAGATGGTTGGAAGTAATGATAGGAGCTGACGTCACGTGCTACAGAAAAGCACGTGCCATGGCATCTGGTTGCTTGTGACATACCTAATTCTTGCTTGAGTAGTAAGATTTCTACATAGGGTACAAAAATTTTTTAGCTTCAAGATGTCGCGTGTTGACGTCACTCAGTTCGATGTACTTTTTATTTCTTTCAGAAGTATTCATGAATTCTAATATAAGCTTGATGGCATGAACATTTCAAGCAATAGATATATTTATTTTTAAAAAATTATATGATTTTTTTAAATTTCAATATTATACTTCAGTCATGTTTTACAAACAAAATAATTAACGTTTGTTTGTCTATAAACGTAAAATTACACAATGGGCTATCCGGGCTGTGCCCACCAATGTATTAAATACCAATAGACGCCCTCGAGCTTACCATTGATCCGTCGGGAACAATATCGAAAGGGCGACAACCATCTTATAAACGTTTCCTAGCATTGAAAAAACGGTTATACATTAAATAAAAACTGTTTTTAAAGCTTCGGTAAAATAAGAAATGGTAAATTTTTGGAACAAGAAAATCCAAAACAATCACATCAAGAACCATAATTAGATTTTTTATCAAACATTTCAATTCATGAGCACTTTTTAAGAATTGAACGAATTATTGTTAAAGAATGCAACCTTATACGTGACGCTAGAAATGTTTTAGGCCATTTAGATTTTAAACAAGTGAATTTTAAACTTCAATAATTTCAAATTTTTTCGTTTATTGGTTTGTTAAATTTCGCGCAAAGCTATACGCACTAACTGTCCCTAATTTTCAAGTGATAAACTAAAGGGAAGGCAGCTAATCAACAACACCTGCTGCCATTAATTAGACTATCTTTAACAACGAATAGAGGGATTTACCGTTACATTATAAACCCACACGGCTGAAAAGGCGAGCATGGTTGGTGATGGGATTTAAACCCGCAATTCTCAGATTGCAAGTCAAGTGTCATAACCATAAGGCCATAATTTGAAAATAACCTTAATTTTGTTTTGTGGTTAGGGGTAAAATGCTTACCGGTACGTCGATGTTTTTGTAATCTGCCACACCTGGTTGTTAGTTTTGATAGTTGCATTTGTGTATGTGTCACTAAAACCATTTAATGATTTATTTAGAACTTAGATTTAATGATGTGGTTTTTCAGGGGCACAAAGTCATATTTTGACACAATAGAGCAAAAGGTCAGTCACAGCTTGCCTTCATTCACCTATAAAAACATTTAAATCTGGAAGCGATTTTGCTGTCTATTTCTTACAGTCTGACAGCAAAAGTGACATAGCATATGTAGCTAGATATTAGTATTTATGTGTTAAGATTCAAACCTGTCAATGAAACTAAATGGGCCAATAATATTTTGCTACCACAATGTCACGAATATCTAATGCATAATAGATATGTTAGGAGGAATTGTATGCTGCAACATGAGTTAGGTTATAGAGCACAGACTATTATGGTTATCGTGAATTCACCTCACTTCAACTTTTAAACAGAGATCCAATGATCTACATTGAAATACAAACGTTGTGTCAATTTGTCACCCTTTCAGACTTACACTTTATTTTTTCACTTATTTCCTAAACTTAAAAAACATTATCCTTTAAACCCCCGAGAGGCTTAATTCCTCCATATCTGAACTTGGTTCCCATACCTACGCCACTCTACGAAACAAAATTCTATAGAAAGCAAGTTACAGATTGTTGTGTAGATTTACAGAGCCTTCGGTCGACGAATATTTACACTAATTCCTTGGAAGAAAATTGTAACTGCGTTAGTACAAATTCAATATACACATGTAGGCATATTTGTTTGTGAACATGAATAAATTAAACTGGCTAAATAGTCTAAGAAAAACCAATAATTACATTTATAAAAGGAAAAGAAGTTTTCATGCCATGCTTACCTTTCTTTCGTTTTATATTTGTATCATGCATCTTTGAGATTCGGTATTTTGTTTGTTTGTTGATTTTTCTTTGTTTGTAATTATGCACAAAGCTACACAATGGGTTATTTGTGCTCTGCCCACCACGGGTATCGAAACCTGGTTTCTAGCGTTGTAAGTCCGCAGACATACCGCTGTGCCACTGGGGGGCTTGTTTGTTGAATTTCGCACAAAGCTACTCGAGGGTTATCTGCGCTAGCTGTCCCTAATTTAGCAGTGACAGACTAGAGCAAAGGCAAATAGTCAACACCACCCACCATAAATTATTGGGCTACTCTTTTATCAACTAATAGTGGGATTGACCGTACATTATAACGCTCCAATGGCTGAAAGGGCGAGCACGTTCGGTGACGGGAATTCGAACCCGCGATCTACAGATTGCGAGAGGAATGCCCTAGCCATCAAGCCATGCCAGGCCTCACGGTATTTTGAAGATTTAAAATAAGTTTAATGACTATATACTACAGTGTTTAATTTCGTATTTTAATTTACCTGAAGCTTCTCTAGATGCCTGTAGTATGAATGCCACCAACTTAAACTTAAATTGTTATTAGCAAGCACAACAAAAATAGACCAAAAAATCAGTTAGGTCAAACTATTTCTAGATGATGATATTGAAGCAGGTGGAACCTATTTACCGCATTGTCTATCTATTAAAGGTTCAACTATCTTTATTATATTTTTATAAGCAACAGAATGCATGCATGAAAAGTATGAACGACTAATAAATTGTTAGTACAAAAGTGGAAAACAATAGGATATCAGTGATAATTAAATAAAAAGTACTTTTCGAAAACTAAAGTTACCAGAGGATATCTGTTAAAAAGTTACATTTTACCTCTAGAATAACATAAAAGTAAAATGGAAATAACATTTATTATCAATTATCAAACTACATGACAACTTTGATATTCTAACGAAATTCACTGTAAAACGAGATAATAGTTTATCTGGTTTTTACACTGGATTTCCTTAAAATATCAAAGCTATTACGTCACCTTTCCTAATTGAATCTTCTACAAAAAACAATATGCATTAATATAAAGAGCCAAGTTATTCAGTACAAAAGTACACACTCGGAGAAACGATATAACATACAAACAGGTATTTAGATAGGCGACGTAAGCGTCAATTCATTGTTGTGATTTAAATATTAAATAGCTGACTTAGTTTTAAAACAACAAACAGACGAGATTATCATTAGAACTTTTGGATTTAATATACCTTTTTCCTTTTTAGTAACATTTTATATATTTTTTAATTGTTTTCATGGATACTTTTTTCTTATATATTGGTTTACTGTATTTCTAAAAGTTCAATCTGGTGAATTATACTAACTGGTGCTGTTAAACTTTTGTTTTACAATACACTCATGTTTCTTTTTTATATACATTGTTGGCGATTCCTTCCAAGATTCAATTTTTCCCGGTTTTTCTTACACTAACGTTGTTCATACAGTTAAAAGTGAATCACTGAATTAACTATCACTAGAGCTTTGAACTATAATTCTTGTTTGTACGATGGATAACTGCAAACTGTCTTACCTGTATTAGAACGTAGACTCTCCCTTCTCCCTCTGACAACTCAAACACTATTATAAACTTTCAGTCACAACCTTGATTATGCGTCCAAACCTTAGGCCCTAGACGCCCCGCGTTCCTGTTTATCAGATATATTCGTCTGCTCCTGCAGCACTACGAAGGAGGCTTGAGGTGCTTCCTTCCATTTCCGAACTCTCGCCTCCTTTTGCTCTATTTCTGGCTGTCTCTCATGCAAGTGTCCTTTTGCTCGAGTTATTCATGCGCAGCAGTTGGCTCGCGCCCAGCATGCTGCTCTCCCTGTGAGCACGAAAAAGAAAATTAGAAATTGCTTCAGTTTTTTGTTTTGTTTTTAACATTTATGGCGTTTATGAGATCAAAATGATAGACACCGCAGGCAGAGCAGCTATCTTAAACTTCCAGATGAGTAACTCAAAAGTCAATAGAGTTATTTAGGGTCCCAAGGTCGTTTTCTTTCCTCTATAGGTTATTTTTCGGATTTGTTAAGAGCCTAAGACTAACAAATGAGGAAGTAAAATTTTCTTTCTTTCAAGTAGTGAAATACTGAAGATTAACAGCGCATGTTTCATTGACAGCTACTAATATTCTTTCGTTAACTTACGAATATAAATTTTTATGATTTGTCCATTTCGTCCTGAATAGTTTCCATAAAATTGACAAATATGGTGTACATTAATCAAATTTATCCGCGAAAATAATGCTATTTACTTTTGAAAGAATTTAGAATTAAAATGTACTTTTAAATCATAAGATTTGCTATAACTGTGTCTACACAAAAGTACTGAGTGCTGTAGTATCCTTGATAATATTCAGAGAATCTTGTGAGCAGAGTCGGCTTTCGCTAATTTAAACTGCAAAGAAATTGATATAGAATAAGTCTAGAATAAAACTAATTACAATTGTATCTAAGTCCGAACCATTAAAAATGCTACGAGGCCGAGTGGTTAGCGAGCTCGGACTGTGAATCCGACGGTTCGCGGCTCGTTGCCATAAAAGCTCGTTCCCCACTTTGAGGCCTTTGACGTTCTATAAGAGTGACAGTTTCATCCCACCATTTAGTCAGACAAGAGTAGCTTTAGAACTGACAGTGGATGTTGTTGACTAGAAGCCTTCCCTCTAGTCTATCAGTTCAAAATTAGGGACGGCTAGTGCAGATAGCCTTTTGTGTAGCTTTCCACAAATATTCTGGAATAGATTTTAAAAAGAAACGATAAAGTTAATACAAAAGAATAAGCTACCCATAGTCATATTGGGATAAAACAATGAAAATTGTGTAGTCGTTTTGTTTTTAAGCACAACGATACCAAATGGGCTACTTGCACTGGTTAACATGACAGAAAAATAATAAAAGTGAGAAGTGGAAGGAGAAATGGCAAAAATTAATAGCAACAAGCACCTTCAACCATTTAATAAGAAATAACGCAGAAATTTCTTTATTCAATAACATTAAAAATAAAGATGAAAATGATAAGCTATTTATTAATCAGTCGTCTGTTTAAATTTTCGTTCATTAGTCCTAAGTCTTTGATGTTGTTATTTTGAAGAAGCTTTTGAAAGATAGTATTTATTTACTTTGCTCTATTAAGTGTTTGTTTGTTTGTTTTTGAATTTCGCGCAAAGCTACATGAGGGCTATCTGCGCTAGCCGTCCCTAATTTAGCAGTGTAAGACTAGAGAGAAGGCAGCTAGTCATCACCACCCACCGCCAACTCTTGGGTTACTCTTTTACCAACGAATAGTGGGATTGGCCGTCACATTATAACGCCCCCACGGCTTAAAGGGCGAGCATGTTTGGTGTGATGGGGATGCTCTATTAATTCCTGGTGGTTTAGTGTTAGCTAAAACAAATCTTTATAATCTTCTTTGTTTTAAATTATTCCTAAAATTAATTTAATCAGAAACTTGTGCCTTAAATAATTTTGTTTTTATTTGCATAATATTTTAGAGAAGATGGAGTTTGTTTTTCTTTCAGATATCTGATGTTAATTGTTAATGTTTCTACACACTGTGATAATACAAATTTCTTACAAATTATATACCTAAAACTACTTTTCCAATATTTTTTCTTAAGTTTAGAAATATGTTGTGTTTAACATGCAACTTCAGAACGCTATACTTTACTTTTGAAAAATTTGATATGCTAGACAACATCTGAATTATATTGCACATAATAGTTTTGTAATGAAAAAAGAACGATAGGGCGATCATTTTCAGAAAATAAAAAATATATATGCAAGTTTGCATAAGGCATAAATAAATAAGACCTGGTCTGGATTAGGAACGTGAAATTTTGCATACGTCATGCTAATGCAATAGCAAAATGATATAGAATTTCATAAGATACCTAGTACTGAGTATTAAAAATTTAAAAACCTCTAACAGCCTATTATGATTTTTATTTGGAACTGCTGAGATTTTATATTCTTACTAGGTGGCGACACCAAATGTAAATGGCTTAACTTCGAACGAATTCTTGAAACTTGAAAAAAAATGGGTTCCAATAAGAGCTGGAACACGCGTAATAGCCTAATATGTACTAACTACAAAAATATATTTGCTTACCTTGTCAGGGTATTATTTTAAGGTGGAATCTGAGGAAGAAACACATATATGAAATCACAATGTTATTCCTGTGATCCGCAGAAAGCACAACTATAGCGAGCATAAATCACATAGGTGATGTGAAAAAGTACGTTGAGATGTGAAAAGTTCAGATCCACAATGTCCATTTTACGCTGTCACTAGAACCTTAGTCGTCAGTGTCATGAGAACAACTGTTCCACCTTACCGCGTCAGTGATGCGATCTTGAAAGTATCCAGAAACCCTATAAGTGTCGGCAGACTGACGTTAAATCTTCCATATTTAGACATGTCTGCTGTTTAATCTTAGAAAAACAAAGGGTATGAGTATTATATTTCACAGTATTATGAATTTCAGAGCATACATGATCTTCCAGTATATATATATGAATAATCTATATCACAGCAGTAAGTTTTTCAGCATTCGTGACGACACATTTACCATCCTTACGCTATGTATCACGCTCGTGTCATATATATATATATATATGTTCTATTACATATATTTTGCAAATATTATGGTTTTACGTTCATTTGCTCGATGCTAAAGTCCAGTACATTTTTCTAGATTATTTATTTTTGGCGAAAATTGATACAATACTCATAATATGTCCTATATCGACAAAAAACATAAATTTTTATATTGACTCGCTGGGAAGTAGAGCGACACCGGGACTACAGAAAAACGCCATCTACCGTTTCCTTTCTTAGTACTTTATTATTCATTGCATTTTAGGACCAAAAATGGCCCTAATGCGGACCCATTCTTTTTTAAGCCAATACAAAAAAGTAACAATAATACCTATATAGATATGCAAATCAAATAAACTCTGATTTGAATAAGAGCTATTTGTATTTTTAATAAAACTGAGTTCCAAACAAAAATTAGTTTTGACCGATCAGATAATAAATGTCTTATTGTTTGTTTGTTTGTTTTAGACCAAAGCCACAAGATGGACTATCTGTGCTCTGTCACTAAGGGGAATCAACCCCAGAATTTTAGCTTTGTAAGTCCGAGAACTTATGTCTGACCCACTGGGGGAAAAAAGTCTTAAAAAATATTTTCGAACCGGTCTCGCAAGACTTGGTTGTGCAAACATATATGAATATACCAATCAAATATTGGTGTTTGAAAAGTACATCATTAAAAGGGTCATAGAAAACAGCAAATAAGCAAACAAACTACAGTGCTTTATCACAATAACTGGTTCGTTAATCCTACATATTCCAAAAATTCGTACATCTGTATGCGTGGAGGCGCAGATAACCCTGTTGCTTTGTCCCGATAAACTCCAAACAAACAAACAAACAACTATATATGTGGAAAATCCAAAGGTTTTTTTTTATCTTAGTGCAAAGCTAAAGCTACACAATTGGCTATCTGCACTCTGTCAACGGGAAATGGAACTGCGGATTTCAGTGTCATAAGTCCGTAAACTTGGCTCTGTTTCTTTTGACGACTTTTGAAGCCTGTTTGAAAGATTGAAATCCATCATGGAAATTTCAACACAACTGAAAAGATCTGTCTTAATTCGAACTTCAAGTTTTTAACATGAGAACCTTTAAGACATGAATTGTCCCCCCAGTAGGTTAGCTGTAAGTTTATGGACTTACATATATATATATATGTGTATACATCATTTAAGGAGAACAAGGGACTTGCTGGTCTATCTACAGTCTACAGACAAAAGCTATAGAATTTGAAATGCATAATCCATTGCACATGCTATGTCATATATGTAGTTAACGTAATACGAAAACTTTAAATTACAAAACATACATTTCAAAAGGTTACAAATCCTGGTGTACTAGCTAATCAAAGTCGAATATACAAATTCACTAGGTTACAAATCCTGGTGTACTAGCTAATCAAAGTCGAATATACAAATTCAATAGGATACAAGTCCTGGTAAACCAGCCAATCAAAGCCGAACATACATTTCAGTAGGATACAAGTCCTGGTGTACTAGCTAATCAAAGTCGAATATACAAATTCACTAGGTTACAAATCCTGGTATACTAGCTAATCAAAGTCGAATATACAAATTCAATAGGATACAAGTCCTGGTAAACCAGCCAATCAAAGCCGAACATACATTTCAGTAGGTTCCATCCACTATTTTAAACTCTAAAATAAAAATAAAACATTCATAGCCAGCTTTTATTATTTAAATATTTATCAAAAACACCCTTAAACTATCTTAAAGTAACTGCAGCTACCACATCTAAAGGCAACCCATTCCGAAGGCCAACCATCCTGTAGCTTTGCACTAAAACACATAAAATGTAATTTTAATTGTACTAACCGCGTGTTTTACACACAAATATATATACATAGATAGATATACGTGTACATTTGAGGCATACACCGTGCAGTAGGAACGATGAAGGGCAAAATAAAATTCCCGAAAATACTTTTTTAATGTTAATAATCATGACAATAAAAAGTTCCTTGTAACATTCTTACTTTAATTGCTGTAAAAATAAAGATTTCTTTCTTCTCTCAGTTTCTTGAAAATATTTACAAAAGTTGTATAATATTTTTAACAATAGCTTTTCTTAAATATTATTTTAAAATGTTGATATTTATGTCACTCACTCTGCTTAAGATTTTTCATACATATCTTATTACATCAAAAAATTCTTTCACAAGCAAGCGCTTATATATTTCTTACTTTTAGTTAATATCTTTAAGCATAAATCAAATAAGTACCACCAAAATGTACACTACATAATGAGATTCTCGTAAAAAAAAAAGTTGTCGCATTCTAAATCAAACTGGAGAATGTTTGTTGTTATGGGTAAGAAAGAAGGGTAAACATATCAGAATTTCAAAGATTTTTGAATGAATTGCAGTTTCATTAATGCCTAAAAACAAATAATCATAGTTGACATTATTTAGATATAGTGTAGTGATTTTATAAACAAAAGGTTCCATCGAAATGGAGATTTCAAACTTTCAAAAATATCACGATCGTATGAAGCGAAAAAAAATTGAAGGGGATTAAATAGAAAGATTAGGACTTTTAGAAAATTATAATGTTTAAAATGTGTATCAAAACTTTATCAAGTACACACAAAACAAGCTTCAAAACAGCCTCCCAGCAAACACTTTATGTATTTGCATTAAGTCAACAAGCTAAAACAATTAGCACAAAAAAAGCGCTTACTGAGTAGCAGTACAAATGACAAAACACTGGCTGATGAAATAATGTTTGTTTTGTCGAACGATTATGCATAACATCCACAATACAACATATTGTGTTCAATCTCGTACGTCAACATCTGAGCTTACTCTGTTTACCGCGTGTTTGTTTTTGTGTGTCTGGATATTTGTTTGAGGCTGTGTATAGTGCGAGAGATGCTTCTTGAAATTTACTAACTTGCAAGAACTACCACTGGAGGTTGAACAAAGTAACCCGTGTAGAGAATGCGTTTGAGACGATCATGAAAGCAGCTAAAATAATATGATGAGACAGCAGTACGTGTAATACTCGATATAAAATACCATTACACTCACAACGTGGATTTATTACACATTTACTCGAAGAACATACTTTAAATTAAAGTAGAGAAAAATGTGCTTGTGTGTTAGTTTCCGTACAGTTCTGTATACTAACAATAACAGAAAAAGCAAGTCAGGTCTCAAATTTTTATAATATAATTTAATCATAGAGCCCATGTATTCAACATACTTAAATCCTTTTTTTATAACAAACAAAATTCAAATCTTTCTATCAATTTATACATATTCCTATTCGATCTATTTATCTAGGATACTGCTTCTTTTTGTGTATGGCCATATTATATTTGTTTGGGTTGTTAAATAGTGACGTAATATAAATTGCTAGCTCTTTGACTTGGTTGGTAGAGCGCTTTCATGATGTGCGAGAGATTTCGAATCCAAGCCGACGAAGATACGTGCACATATCGTGAAGAAATAAATAACAACAACGTGACTGCATGTATAATTAGTTACTTGTTTGTTTGTCAAACGGAAAAAGAACAAACATTTGTGAATAAATAAAAATCCACTTTGTTGAAAGTAAATAGATGAGTTACTTGTCATACAGCAAGAAATACCTATAACAAGTAGTACAGAATTTAGGCTTCCAGTAATACTTTGAGTTACAGGGACTCAATAAATCAAGTGAGTTTGTAGATACTACTGGTGAATATAAGAATTAAAGCTTCACGCAGCTCAAACAATAAATTACAAAAAAAAAGTCTTTATTCCAAGCTGTGTTCATCTAGCTACGTCTTTCATTGTTAAAGTACAAAGTATTAGGTCGTCATGAAATTAATGTCGCGTTTTGGAACACTATCATTAACCCCCCCCCAAAAAAAAACGTACATCACGTATAATAGTTAAACGAATCGCCTAAACGTCACTTTAGTGTAGCCTATATAATGTGTAAAGTTTAGTGTACTCTAATCCCTTATAGTAATGGCACACGACGAGACACACATCATGAAAAAATACGTAAATATCTAAGAAATATGGGAACACTCCATAAAGAAGGTGTTTAGGTACCTCATGAACTCTCCGATGATCATCGTTGCCAACGTGTGAACGTTTCATCGTCTCTTCTGGCGCGTAATGAGCGTGAATCGTTTCTGGACAGAATTGTCACGGTGCCGAAAAATGGATTCTCTATGCG